TCCGATGACACGGTTCTCAGATGGTGGCTGCCGCAATGGTAGCAAATTATCGATCTCACCATGACCTACTAAATAATGAATAATGTTAATACCTCTTAATAGGTTACCACTACAGTGAAACTAGGTTAAGTGGGACCTGGATAAGTGAGTAACCTCCATAACTGGAACTCATGCTGAGGTCCCAACACTTTGGCACTGAATTACCTCTGTTAGTGGGACGAGGTAAACCTCTATATCTGGGATTTGTTCTTTCGATTTATCATCATAGTTACCTCTATAACTGAGACAGCGAGTAAATTTTATATGCATAAACCTCTGTAACTGAGATAACATTGTTTGTTTACTCATTCTTATTCTACCCACAAATTCCACACGTAATTCCAAGTCCACCTCTATTAATGAAACCCTCTGTAAATGAGCCAGATATTTATTTATACCTGTATATCTGAGACACTGGGTAAGTGGAATACCTCTATAAGTGAAACGACATTGAAGGTCCCTTGATGTCTCACTTAACCAGGTTTCACTGTATTATAAAGTTTAGGATTTCCATAATAAATCTGAGTGACTGGATCCTGGTCAAACACAGTTAACAAATGAACAGGAAAATAAAAGCAACAAGTAACTCCATGCAGGTGGGTAGTGGTTAAAGGTGCTCCCTCACAGGGAGCATTCGTGTGTAAAGTAATATATCTGAGCTTACATTACAAATCTGAGTAAAGGAGAAGAACCGAGCATTACAATGCGCACCTTGTTTGTAATGATACAATTTGTAATATCTTGATACAACTTGTCAAATCAAAGCATTTATTTCAATTAAACCATAATTTGGTACTTTTGAAACGTCAACAAATACAAAATAAATAATAGTCTGTCAGTCAGTCCGTCAGTGAAGCTAGGTGAAGCTAGGTGCTCATTCCAAAATGTAGATTCGAATGGAGAAGAACGAGCAAGAAACTCCTTGTAACATCAATGTGCTCCACTTCCCACAGCCCGGGGCCCGCCCGCTTCGTCTGACATCTTGCTATATGAAATGCTCAAAGTCGAATCTATAATGTTACATTACACGCAAATGCTCGTTAGTCAGGGAGGTGTTATACGCATTGTAATGTAATGCTTAAAGTCGAATCTATAATGTCACATTACACGTGAATGCTCCCGGTGAGGGAACACCTTAAGATTTGAAATGTTCCTAAAACTTTATATAAATAAAACAATATTTAACTATTCATCCGAATGACCCGCGGATACCGCACGATCTCCGGGGAGGCGGCGAACCTCCTTGCCGGGTTACCGCCGTGGGATCTGGAGGCGAAGGTGCACGCGCGCGTCTATTTTCTGAGCCCGGAGGCACGTCGCCAGGACGAAACTCCGCTGGCACGCCAGTGCGTGGCGGGAAGAGCTCCGGAGCGACCTCATGGCGGAATGGCAGCAACGATTGTCGCAACCGAGGGCTGGGCTCACTGTCATTGCAGCGATAAGTCCCCTCTTTGAGGAGTGGTTTGAGAGACGCTACGGTGTCTTCACCTACCGCCTGTCTTCACCGGACATGTCAGTTTCGGGAGGTACCTGTGTCTGTTGGGGCGGAAGGAAACGCCCGGATGTCATCGCTGCGAGGACCGCCCTGAGGACACGGTGAAATACACAGCAGGGGAATGCCCTGCGTGGCCTGAGCACCGCCGTGCCCTCAGGGACGTGATCGATGATCGATCGACGTGATCGGCGATGACCACCTCTCGCGTCCGGCCCTAGTGCGGGTCATGATGTGGAGCGAGGGGGACTGGGATGCCGTCTCCTCCTTTTGCGAAGCAGTCATGCTAGCTAAGGAAGAGGCGGGGCGCGTGTGCGGGGTGCGAAGGACACTCCGGGCGTCGGGGATCACCGGACCGTAAGTGCGGGTCTGCTAACTGCGAGCATGGGTGGCTCGCCGACCGACCAGAACCAGACCCGAGTGTACAACGCGTCGCGTTCCGCGCGCGCCTCAAAGAGCCATCAGGCCACCACGGATGGGACCCAATAGGGCTGATGACGATACGGAGCCGCGGAAGACTTAACAGATTACCGGGGCTCCGACTCGACGTGCAGGAGAAGGAACGGGGTGGTTTTTAGTCAGTAAGAGTCTGACACTCCCTCCCGCCTCACCTAGGCGAGAGAAGTCATTCGATGATATTCACCCTTAAAAAAATATTCAGCTATTCAGGTTTACATATTGCGAAGTACCATGTTTTTACATTATTGGGGAAGTCGTGTATACTTCTATTTAGCCAACTTCGCGTTTTCTCATCGACCCGTTTATTTGGATCAAAACTAATTGGAATTTCATCCCTAATGACAGATCGATCTGATTTATAGTACGTAACACTCTTAATCTCGATGACCACACAATATTATAATCTTTTTTTTGTCAAACGAAGGAGCTTGATTGGTAGAATAGAGCTCATTGAAACAATCAATCAATACATAGTATAAAACAAAGTCGCTTTCGCTGTATGTCCGTATGTATGCTTAGATCTTTAAAACTAAGCAACGGATTTTGATGCGGTTTTTTTTAATAGATAGAGTAATTCTTAAGGAAGGTTTGTATGTATAATACATGCATGTACAATGCATATTGCACCCGTGCGAAGCCGGGGCGGGTCGCTAGTAAACAATATTTTTATGTAGAGGTAGGTATGAAGGCAAAGCCTGTCTAAGGCCAGACAAGTAATCTTCTTCTGGCCATTATCCGGTAGACCATTGCCCTGCAATAAGACGACCATGGCTAAAAATAAAATAAATAAATGCCTGTCTAATGTCTATCCGAAGTAGGTACATAAAATTCATATACGAACCGAAAGTAAATTAAGAAAATGTAAACGAAACTTACAGCCAATAACCGCAACAAATAATAAAATTCGACACCACATGTTCTGGAAAATATTCTTTTACCAAATTTGTCATTCCGTAATGAATATTTGCCTACAATCTATGTGGCTACGGCTAATAGTTCGATCATTTAAGGCGGAAATATGGGGGTTGCCTGTAATGTTTTCTGAGTATTTTCAAAATTGGAAATATTGTTGATTTTGACGTGCGGTTTCTGATTTCCATTTTGCACCCTCGTACGTGCGCCGGTTGCACCGTCATCTTGGAAAATGGCAGCTTTTTTGCAATATCTCTTTTCCTGTGTATTTTAGAAGAAAAACGTTTACTACAAAATTAAACTACTCGCATATAATTTCCTACAATTCATGTGAACAGGTTTTTTTGTAATAATAGTAGTTTTAGCGCCAGCATAGTTCATTTTTGTGAGCCATTTTGGGAAAAAAACGTAATTTCCACACTACGTGAAAGTAAAGCAAGCGGTGGATTTTGGGCCTAATGCTCATGTGATTGTGATAAATGCCATAGAATCATGTCATAATCTCATGGCTTGAGCGGTTTCTGATGATCCACATAGGTGATGTCATCTTGAGCATCCATCGATATGTCATAGTCGTTATCTATAAACGAAAATCATGCAATGAATATGCAAAAGTGCAGGGCAAATAATGCGGGCGAGATATAGATCAGCGACGACCTTACCACAGAAGTCTTTTTAATACCACAGAATTTTGTAATTAGTTTTATTAAATGTAACATTTTAACTTTATTATATTGTAAAATTTAACTTTGCATGCCGAAAACAGAGGTCGATGTATGTGGGACTATTTTTTTATAATTATTATTACCTGTAATTACCATACTCCGTGCAAATAAACGTTCTTATTCTTTTTCTATTCTTAGAAGTCCTCCATCTCGATCGGTCCTGAGCTTTACATGTTACCTCACTCCACGTCGTCATACCGATAACCAACGCTTCTAATATCACGACTCCAAGTTTGAGGACAACCACGCTTTCTTCCAATCAAAGGTTTTCTTGTGAATTTGGTCGGGATCATTTCGGAGCATATGAGCAATCCTCTCCCACTTGTGGTATTTGATCTGGCGGTCGATCGAACTGTCACGACAGTTTTCCAATAGCTCTACAAAATAGTCTCGAGCCAGTAATCGAGTTGCATTTCACTCAAGATGGCTTCGTGACCTTCGTTACTACCCTTAGAGCAGAACGGATATGACATTGAATCCGAAGAATTTAAACTTTACTCATCCACCAAAGCGGTCTCGTGTCGCACTTAGGGCGAAAGAAGTTATTTTATGATTTTCCCCATTATAAAACACGGTCATGTTCAACGCTAATAAAACGTAGGATCGACTTGAGCCTCGTCCAACAGTAAAAACAATATAACACTCTTAAAATTACAGTAACTTACGTGTCCACGAAAAAGGACACCCTGTGCCAAGAATTTGATTTTGCATATTTGCTTACGTTATCCTGATTAGTGCTGCTACGTGGAACAATAAATTGTGAACCAACTGCTTCAGTCAAGAAAAGGCTGACATTTTTTAACGAACATAGTATTCTCAATTTTAGCTTACTTTAAATAACTATACTGAAAAAAATATATATGAACTGCGCTAGTAGTGGTAAGTTCCACCAAAGTTGGCTCATATAACAATGATTTTACTTTCTTTATGAGTTAAGTCGGTAAACGAGCAGACGGACGACTTGATGGTAAGCAATCGACGCCGCCCGTGGTCACCCGAAACACCAGAGGCGTTACAACTGCGTTACCGGGGCCTTTTGGGGATTAGGAACTTAAGGAGTGTTGGGGATTCAGGCATTGGGGAGATTGGGAGGTATCTGGGCTAAAACTTTCTACAATATTTATTACATTATGCACAATAAAAGCAGTTTCTCCACGAAACCCTGTTTGGAACAATTTATTTGATACTACTTCCTAAATTTTATTATAGTGTACCAAAATAGCACCTTTAGGGAGTTTGGTATATAAGTTGTTTTATATCTTTCTGTACATATTATGTCATTCAATCAACAGTTACTAGTGCCATTGAAGGCATGAATACCTATATTGACGCAGGTAAAGGGTATTAAATACAAAAATGAAAGTTGTATGGTGTAGATATCACATATGAATATTTTATTTACGAGTAGTGATATAGATATATTACATTTTACAATAAATATAAGGTACAAGGTGATCCGCTACACACGTCATAACTGGGACGGCTGCACCGACACCAGCACCACCTGCCGACACACCGCTGGAACAATACACAATAAATATAATCCTTTGCCATGCCACGCCGTATGGTGCCGGCAGTGAGCGCCAGCCCTAACGCTTTCGTAAGTAACAGTGTGTACAATACCTTTGTCGGTGAGAGTCTCGTATGTGACGAGCGACGCAGCGAGCGCGGGCAGCGGCGCGGCGCAGGACGCGGGCTCGGGCGCCGTCAGCACCGCCTGGCCGGGCGCCGTCAGAACCGCTTGGCCGGGAGCCGCCAGAACGGCCTGGCCGGGCGCCGCCAGCACCGCCTGGCCAGGTGCCGCCAGCGCCGCCTCGCCGGCCGCGCCGAGGACCTGCCAGCGCGCCAGCTCGGCGCGAGCCGACACCTGCGTGCCCGCCTGCACACACGTTACATATTTGACTACACGGTTGGCGTGATAGCTGGATAACTAGCTGCCGCGTAACATGTAGCGGGTTCGATTCCCGCACGGACCACTTTGGTTGATACACAAATTGTTATTTCGGACCTGGGTGTCAAGATAAACTTGTATGTTTATAACGCACCCACGGCACAGTTGAAAGTACGTGGGTGAGGCAATTAAAAAAAACAAATATAAATTGGGTATTTTCTTCAGTTCAAAACGATGACGATAATTTTATGAAGCGTGTTTTTGCAAATTAACTCGTCGAGTACCGTCATTATAGACACAATTATAGAACAATAGGTTGCGGTCACCGGTGACCGCTTGGTGTTTGACAGTTTAACTATAACTTACCTCGATGTTCGTGGAGACATCGGCGGCGTATTTAGCTTCGTAGAAAGGCGTGAACCCTGAGTCAGCAGTGAGCCGTAACGCTCGGTCGATGACAGCACAGGTTATTGAGCGCCAAGGGTCCACTATCAGGTACGCCTGTTCGGATGCCGAGGAGCCCTGGGACCCGTCTGACGCACACCGACGTTCTTCCGGAGAGCATAAGCCCGGAGAACTCTGGATAATGTACGTGTGTAAGAAATCATACAGATATTGTAATAAAAATATTAAACTTCTTGTGAGGATCTTTTTAAATCCTTACTAATAATGTAAATTGGAAAGCGAGTTTGTTTGTTTGTTCCCCTTTCAAGCCGTAACTACTAAACCGATTGCTTTGAATTTTTGCAGACGTAAAGTTAGAAGTCTGGATTAAATAATAGGGTACTTTAAATCCCGGAAAAATTTGATATTCCCGAGGGAATACAAAAGTATTGGTATAGATGGCACTGTGTGTATTGGTATACGTCACATAGGCTACTATTTATCCTTTTGTGACGCGAGCGAAGCCGCGGGTAAAAGCTAGTATAGAATAAGTATAAAGATATGTCATTACGGCTGTTTCACGTGGTACAAAGTACAACCCTGTTATTTGATTAGTTGATTGGTAATTTCGATTACAAAATTATTTTACTTTCGAAACAAAATGCACTATTTTAGCGAATTCAATGTTTTAGATTTGAATTATAATCTGTGTATTTAATCATGAAAACGAATGTTTGGGGAATTAACAATATTAAAACAGTGGCAACAATCAAGTAAAGGACGTCGATGTCATCAGCCGTGATCAAGTTTGTTTTACGAATCGTTTTTTATTAGAAAGGTATTAAATAAGGAATGAAATGAAATGAAATGAAACCTTTATTTGTTTGGTCAGTGTTAGATTAAAGTGCGCTACGATCAGCCTATTTTAAGCATACAAATAATCGTTTAAGCTTTAAGAGTTTAAATTAATAAGACCATTAATTAGTTAGGTAAGTAAATATGAATTTGTCGTGTTTTAATGAATTACATGTCAATGTACTGAATTAAAGATATAGAACAACAAATAAATATATAAGACTAGCTGACCTGGCAAACTTCGTACCGCCTAAAAGGTTTTTCTCACCTTTTAAACCTTCCCTAGACTTCCACGAACCTATCAAGACCGAAATTAGCCAAATCGGTTCAGCCGTTCTCGAGTATTAGCGAAACTAACGAACAGAAATTCATTTTTATTTATATACATAGATAGATAGATTATTTTGTAGAAAGTCTTCTTTCATTTGAACGACCTAGGCCACGGGCTAGTCCTTTATTATTTTAAATAGATCAATTCGGAAATTTAACATAGACCTAATAGTTTTTTGTTTCCTTGATTATAGATTCACTAGCCAAAATGTTATCAGTAATTCATGTTTAATTATAGTGTAAAATTGTGTGAACCACAGTGGCGTCCTCATTTATTTTCATGATCAAATAGAGAAACTATACATTTTTTTATGGCCTAAACCGGTAAACGAGCTGACGGATCACCGGATGGTAAACAATCGGCGTCGCCCATGGACACCTGGACCATCAGAGGCGTTACCGGCCTTTTGGGGATTAGGAGTTTGAGGATTGTTGGGGATTCGGAAATTGAGGAGATTGGGGAAGGGGAGGGTAATTGGGCCTCCGGTAACCTCACTCACACGACGAAACAACGCAAGCGTTGCTTCACGTCGGTTTTCTGTGAGGCCGTGGTATCACTCCGGTCGAGCCGGCCCATTCGTGCCGTAGCATGGCTCTCTTTTATTAGATATTTTACCAACATTATTTAATTCAACAAGGGGCTATTATACTTTTTAAACTTCATATTTTTAATTGGACAAGGAGCAAGTTTTTAATATTTATTTTTCATCTGAATAAGGATCAGGGACGTGGTAGAGAATTGGGAATTGGGTGACGTGCATGCGTATTAACATAACACCTATAAGTATGTTGTTGGAAAGTCTTTCTCCTCAACGCGGAGTGTATAAAGTAAGAAGTCGATGGATTTTTCTGCACCAACCTCATGCGAAGTCCTGCCAGGGTCGATGATGGTAGCGACAGCGTCCGCCAGAGCGTCGTGCACGAGGTAGGTATGCGCACGAGTGTCCGTGATGACGTACGTCTCACCGGCCGTGGCTTCCTCGTAGGACGAGTTATTGTCCGCGCAGGATACTTCGTCCAGCGTGCCTTCAGGGTAAGGATGGCTTTGAAGCAGATCTAGCTTCTCTTTGCCTGTTTTATACATTTATAATTAGCAGTCTAGTTAATAAAATATTTAAAAAAAGTACACTTTCATTGATTGATTTTATGACCAATTTAATTTTAGTATTTTTCCAGCAATTTTTTAAGAAATAAGTATGCTGTTTGACGCTAACAAAACGTGACGTCACAATACACAATCTCGTACAAAATTCATAAAAAAACTGTCGTTTTTGACAGTTCGAAAAAAGTATTTATTTATTTATTTCAGGCATCACAGGCCCATATCGAATACTATAAACTAATACATTAAATATTTATAAATACTATACATAAGTAAGTACTAGCTAGGCAAAATCAAAACATTTTTCGAACTGAGGGTACTTACCCAATTAGTGATGTGTCAGTACAGATTTTATAAATGAATATCGATAAATTTAATGATTGCCTCAGGCATTTTAGACGTTGGGCCTCCGCTAACTTTACTCACATCACCTGATCTGTTTGTTTAGATTTATGTATATGTAGGTATATTTATTTATTGGTTACTTTTTTTATAATTATATTATATTACTTTGTTTTATTCAGAATCAGAATCAGAATCAGAATATTTTTATTTGTATATTGTTTATTATTGTTATTTCTAACTGTATTTCTAATTTTTTTTTTTATAGATTTTTATCTTGTTTGTATAACACACTATGTGTCTCGGTGTTATTATATCTTTTTCTGCCACAGGAAGAGATTCCAGTTGGAATATGTGGGGCCTATGTACTCTGTTTTTATATATGTATTGTCCTCTGTGTTGAATGTGTGTACATAAATAAATAAATAAAATAAATCATTAACACAAGCGTTGTCACGCCGACATTCTGTGACGCCATTGTATCATTCCGGTCCAACTGGCCCATTCGTTCCGAAGCACAGCTCTAACAATAATAGCTTAGTTCCACGCGACATCGACGCGTGTTTCTATAATAATTATATTTGAAAAGCAGTTAAGTTTTGATTCCCTCACCGTGATCATTCGGCAACAGCCGGCAGAGCTCGTAGCCGCGACAGGGTGCTGCGCGAGACACTCGAAACCGCGTCGACCGAGACTCCCACTCCGGTCCCAGTTCTAGATGATAACAGAGATATATATGGCTTAAACAAATTAACTCATGCGAAATCAGAATATTTTATAACTAAATCGATTTTTAATGGTTTTGTACATATTGCTTTTTATATTTGATAGGCCAACGATTGACCACTATCTTGCCTGATGGTCAGCGATAATGCGGTCTACGATGGAGCACATCCTCCCGTAAGCAACCTATTTACTCGGGCCTTGAAGACACCCAGGTCACCCTTCAGGAAATACATACTCTGGCAAAAAATTCCACTCCTTAGCAGTACGCACAAGGAACCTCAGCTGTTATATTGTGAGGTCTAATATTAAATATAGACATGGGTGCGGGAGGTGCAGGGCCTTCCACTTCATGGCAATCCGTGTCTTAGTGAATTTGTGTTGGAAATGTGTAATTATTATCCAAAAGTGTATCGATATCTAAGGAGTAAACGTAACAGCATGTGATATACCGTGTTGGGCTGATTTCGTAGAGCCGTTGAAATAGATATAAATAGATAATAGTGTTAATTATAATATAATGTATTTTTCTAGTAATAATTATGGACATCTTTTTATAATAACTATCGTGAGACATATTAAATTATCTAAAAATCTGGGGGTTCACGATGCTCATGAGGAAGAACCCCTCTGTGGTTCGAAACTAGTAGAACTTTTCTCAGTATATTCATGTGAGTAACCCGCGATTTTTTGTTAATTATAGACATTGTTAATTGTAGTGTGTAACATACGAAGTTTTTTTTTTGTTTTTTTTTTTTCTTTGGCAACCGAGTCTCCAAAACGGTTTTGTCGATATTGATTAGTTATTGTAAAAAAGAGTATGACAAGGGCATGGACCGAGAGTCCGTGGAGAATTAATATTGAATATTGAAAAAAAAGCACGTTCTAACGATAACAAACAGCTTTCACAAAGATAGTTATGTTCTAAATTCATTTATTTCACTTTTATTATAAGTACTAATGTCGTGGTGACCTCCGGGTCACCTCGGTCGGTGTAAGAAACTTTAAACCTACCAACGGTAAGTACCAATGTGAGTTTTTCCGAGTTATGTCCTTTCCAATATTATCTAGACACTTTTGACATGTGACAGGAAGTAGAAGCGTGATGATATTCCATGCCTGATGACGTTTAGTGCTAGGCTACTGGGGCTGTAGTGATGATAGAATCGTTTAAAAATATCAGTTAAATTATTTAAACGATAAAGTCTTTATAGAACAAAAATCAACACGTTTATCGTATATTTTTTATTTTCAACATTAAAAAATAGGCTAGACCCCGCGGGCTACCATCATCCCCAGTACTCCAGGGAAAAGTCACAGTTCCTTATTCTCCAGCTTGCCTTAATTGGCTAGCTGGAGTGAACGATGACGAGGAACAGGTCTCCCAACTCTGGCTTGCCTTTATTGGCCTCCCAGAGTGGAATCGCAAGAGCAGTGATCCTGCTCGGAGGGTAAAAAACTATTTATAAGCGGCGAGTGGGCCAGTGATGCAGGATGCTCCGGCAGATGCAGATGATCAGAGTAGAAACCTGGTTATTTACCTAGCTTCTTCACCCTTCCCTTAGTATATTCGAGTGATTGTCGAAATCAAAACCACATATATACTTAAATATGGGCAGCGGTTACAGGGCACGCCAACCTAGATCTTTTAGGTGTGAATAGTAGACATCATTTATATGTTTATACCTCTAATAAAAACATACAACGTTATACTGTTAAACACCGCAAGGACACCGGTGACCGCAACCTATTGTTCTTTAACTCGTTGAGTACCGTCATTATAGACACAATTAAAGAATAATAGGTTGCGGTCACCGGTGTCCTCGCGGTGTTTGACAGTTTTATTGTGTCTATAATTACGGTACTCAAAAGAGTTAACATCCACATAATACAAAAACAGGCAGCTATTCACATAACCAGCATCCTGAGTAAAGTTTTGGGGAATACTATTTATGTAGACAGGGAACACGATCCTGCTCTTCCTTAAGGGTCATAGGGCAGAAGGCATTAATGAGATCTAAGGCATTACACACACTGTACTAACTAAAAATATAAATATGTAAAAGTATGGTAACTTTCGTTAGACATACTAAGTTCATTAGGTATGTCGCGAGTCGCGACTGTCGCACGACGACTGTCGCGCTGCAGCCAGCAGCAACGCAACAGTCGCCGCGTCGCGGTCTCTAGTCGAGTTCCTCGTCAAATAATTACGTGAGTAAGCCGAAAACATTAAAATTAATATGTAAAAGTGTTACATTGTAGCCTACTTACTGAAATAAATAATAAAATTTCAACATTTCATTCTATTTACATTTAAATTCGGAAATAACAGTAACACTAGCGCGACTTTGGTTGGCAAGTGGGTATCATAAATAAATTTCTGAACAACACACAAATGTTTATTTAGTACATTTAAATGGTTATCATAATGATGCAGTAGCATAGTCCATCGGTGTATAGAAACATTCTTAGTATAGAGAATAAGAACAATTTGTTGGTATACAGTGAATAATAAGGTAGATAACTATTATTCATTTTAATGTCTGTCTGGTAGATTATGATTAATAACATTAGGACCATATTTGTCCTGATCGCGATGTCATCTGTAAGAGGGTAAGACAATTTTGTACAACCCTCGTTCCTTCTGTTGCCTCCAGCCGACAGATTTAGATTATTTCATCTTCAGAGACCTGTCACCTAAGTATCAATTTTGAAAAAATGTCGATAACCCCTCGCTGATCCCACGGAAGACACGCTTGAGTAACAGCTAGCATTGGCACTCTACTATAATACTTTGTAGTAAAATTGTTTTCCTTGCAACTTTCAATAGTCATAGAACATAGTAATACTGAGTAGTAGAGCTCTTTTAACTACGTATATGACGACATTTTTAATCAATTCAGTATGTCTTACGATAGTTATTGTAAGAACAGTCATAGTACATGTTTGTACAGCTGAGCAGGAGTCCCCTTTTTAACATTTGAGTATCCTGAAGAGGTAAGAATATCTCTTTTTGTTAGATTGAACCTTTATACAGTTACTTAAGACCCGTATTTGCTTGCTTTGTAGACGTGTTAGTACCTTGGTCTGTATAACAAAATTGTGTGTCCTTTACTCCTTTATACAGTTTCCTACATTTCTGCTTGATATGAGTTTTTCTTTGTAATATGACAAATATTCTTTCCTATTTTCCTTTATATATACTATACGGCGGCGGAATTCTGTCAATCATATATTTTCTGCAGTCATAGCTTGTCCTTTTACGGCGGTTAGTAGTACCATTAGGCATTTGTCCTTTAACTTTATCTAAAATATGTCGTGAATATGGAAATATTAATTTCAATCCCTTAACGATTAATACGACATCGGTCTTCAGTGTTTTGATTTCTTCTAAAATGGTATTGATTTCAGAGATTGGTACTTGCGGTAGTTTTGATAAGTCCCTTGCAACATACGTAGGAATATTGACTGGGTTAGTTTCTTTGAATACTTTGAAAATATATTCTAAGTTTGTTTTGCTTTGTCCTTCGTTGCTAAGATCAAATTGAACTTGACATTTGACATTTCTACTGAGCTCCTTTCTAGCGTTACATATCTCCTCTTCGGAATAATTAGACATGCATATGTTTTCTAATAATTTCTCGTTCATATGTGTAATGTTATTTTGAATAAAGGTTAACATTTCGTGTACTATGATAGTAGAATCATTATTCTCCTGTATTCGTTCTTTGACCAGTCCTTGCGAATGATCTGTAATTTAATTTACTTTGTTGATCAATAATCACGTTGTTAATGCTTTAGTCTGCATCAATTTAAATTTAACATGTGTATCTTGCATTTCTGATGAGACATATTGATTTATATTTAAATTAAAATAATTTGTCTTCATTTAAAATAATTTTAGTTTAAATGAAGACAAATGAAGAAAACGTTGTATTATCTGATTGCTAGTTGGAGATTATAAAGAATATTATTGATCAATAATAATAGGGTAGTATCCCAAATTTGATTTTAATGTCCGTCTGGTATATTATTTAAAAAATTAGACACGTATTTGTTCTTCATTACAAAATGAAATACGATTTATGTTGTTTTGAAATATCGTGTGACGTCACGATTTACTATATTTTATAGGGTAGCGTGACGACCTCCCACTCCTAAAGTTATCTCCGATTTATCTAAGTCTTGTTTTCTTATAACGACAAAATAAAATATTTTTTTACTATCTAACTGACGGACTATTATTCGTAGTTCTACTATAAATAGACATCATCATCAAATATGTATAATAAAATTAGGTAAATAAACCTAATATCTCATGTGATCAGACCTTTATACAATTTTTAGTTAAGTAACAACTGTAGATACTATATACTTTATGGCGCAGTCATCATACATCACCAGTCTGTAAGTGGCCACTGCTGACCTCTGCCTCTTCTCACACGGAAAAGATTTGAGCATTAATCACCACGCTTGCTCAATGCGGGTTGGCAATTTCAAACTTATGTCGGAATACTGAAACGCTACTCAATTTTAAGTCGTGCTTAAGTATAGTTCTGTCACCACTAATTCTTTGTAAAATGACAGAGATGGCACTATATTTGAGCACGACTTAAAATTGAGGAACGTTTCAGTATTCCGGCATTGGAATTACAAATTATAACGGTTCCCTCACGATGTTTTCCTGAAGGAAACACCACTGATAAACGGTGAACCTTTTATCAGTGGTGTCTAGATAATCTTAGAAAGTGTATATATAACTCAGAAAAAGTCACATTGGTACTTGCCGTTGGTAGGTTTCGAAATCGAGCCCTCGTGCGTAAGAAGCGGGCGTTTTAAAACTATTTCACATTCATCTTCTCATTTATAGAGAAAAAATTTAAGGGTCTCTTCATAACTTCGATCAACAATAACAACTAGATATCGGGTCGGCGCAAGAAAATCGTCTCGAAAAATCGCTCACTTGAGAAGTGAGCTCTTATTTTGTTTAGTATGCTCCAAAGTCCAAACACGGCCAACGTACTCACGTCTCACGATGCCGCAGTGCGTAATTGCAAGTTGCAAAAATAATAACCGAAAAAGCAGTATAACGGCTGGAGTGTCTCACTTTTGATAAGTACATAAAGTATAAGTTATATTTTAAGCTTTTAAACTAGTAAATAATATCAAATTAGACAAAATTACCAATTATAAACCAACACCACCAATGTTTGTGCGTGTGTTGGCGATCCCTTGGCCAAGTATCGCCAACACGTGCACAAACATTTGTTTAACCGGAACAGTGGATGCATGGAGTCGATTTGTATTGTAAAATAAAATTGTATTGTAACCTGATTGGAAAAGAGTATCTAACCTTTGGAGTTTCTTGCTCGTACTTCTCCATAGGAATCTACACCTTGGGATGAGCCTAATACATTGTTACTTTCATAATCACTTAATACTATGTATACAGAAGCTGTTGGTATACCTATTTAAATAAATAAAATAAAATAAAAATGAGCAAATAGCTTCACTTTTAAATTTATATTGTTGACGTTCAAAAGTGTCTTCCTGGTCTAACTGAAATAAATGATTTTGACTTAGACTTTTAATGATAAAAAAAATAAACATATCATACACAAAAACGTACCGATAATAAAAATAAGTGATGTATACTATTCATTGCGATCAGAAGGACAAAACATGTATTTTTTTATTTAAATTTCTTTATTGATTAATAAACAATTTTGTGACCAATTTTGTAAGATCCCGAAATCGTAACTTTCAGATTATAAAATTATTTTAGTGTCCAACGCGACTCCATACATACCTCCTGTGGCGTAATTCGAAATTTGAAGAAGCAAAACGAAACGATATATCGCAAGACAATAATGGAAAAAATATCTTTATTTGTTTAAACTTAAGGTTGAATTCAAACTATATTGTATAACTATGTCTTTTAATTTCTACATGACAGGAGTAAGAAAATACTTTTCTCGTCTTATGTGACGAATGGTCGTAAGTATTAGATAATATTTTGACGATTTATGACTATATTATTAGGTGCCATGGTTGTTATTAGGTTGAACTTAAAACTATTTTAAAACATTTTTCTCTGTTTGTTATATTTTTACTATTATTATTCACACGGACAGAACTGGAGCTTGATTTTGTACGTAACCCTTTATCTAGTTGCTATTGTTGATCAAAGCTTTATAATATTAAATTATGTGTACATTGTCATGTTCTTTTAGAACCATTTTCCAACGGTGCAAATAAACTTCTCATTATTTCTTTCTACACATAGGGAAGGACAGCTACTTAGTTTTATAGTATAAAGTGAAGATAGAAATTAACCCTATACTGATAATTAAATCGCTTATGCGAAATATCAGAAATTATGTTTGATACGTAGAATATTGACGGTTGTAAATAGGTTTTTGAGCCATGATCGTCTCCCTGCAGGGCAAAGGCCTCCATACTCTCACTCCACTCCTCTACATGTAAAGATTTTTGCGGCCAATCCTTGTCATGGAACTGGATCTATGTTAGATATCCATACTAATACTATAACTGCGAAAGTAGGTTTGTACGTTTGTGTATATGTTCCTCACAACGGCTGAAGGGATCGGGATGAATTTAGGATCAGGAGTAGATTTTTTTTAAATGTTGCCCCACACTAGTATTTTCTCGTGTCGTGTGTGCGTTTACAAACATACAAGTTCACATACACATCACACCCAGAGCCGAAACAACAATTTGCGAATCACACAAAGTGTTGTTCCGTGCGGGAATCGAACCCGCGACACGTTGCACGGCAGCCGGTTGCCCAGCCACCGCACCAACCGTGAAGTCTATTTAGGTTTGGAATAAGACATAGGTGTTTCATCGCGCTGGGTGAAGCTAGTAATTCTATAATTATACAGCAGATAGCTAACCTTCGTAGGTGTTGACTGCACTATCGTTGATGTTCGCCGTAAGCATTTCATGCTCGTCCGTATTGTGTTCTATGAACACATCCTGTAACACAACACTTCTCATTTAAAAACTAAATATCTACATAGTATACTTTAGGGTGGGACAGAGACATGACATGGTAGGTGCATAAGCTGTAATGCAAATTGGAAAATGACAGTCTTTGTCTGTCTTTCTCAAAATAATTTTGGGACTTACAGGTCTCACAAGTGCATCCTAGACCTTAAGAGAAATAAAAGTGTTTTGTGTAATACGTGGAAATCACTACATGAGACAGTTATATGTGTTAATAACGAAAAATGAAGACCAGAAACGCGCGCAGTGCGGTCTGTAACAGATAGGCTCTCTGCGTTCTGTCACAGCTAGTGACATTTGTGAGACCCCAGTGTGACGTCACATTTTCAAATATACGCATAATAAAAATTATTAAATGAACACAGCAGTTCCGAAATCAGTTTTATTTCGCGTGTAACACTACTTGTATAGCGAGTGGTCGATAAAACGATTGGTATCTTATAAATGTACACTGATGTATGTAGTTTTATGTGTCTTTAAGTTTTTCGTAGATTAATAGTTTAAAGTTCGTGTTTTAATTAACACAGATTATAATAGTTTATTAAATGTGACGTCACAAAGTTTACGCCACCCTGTCACACAACCTCCTTCCCCCTTGTCGGCCCCCTCCCTACCTTGGGCGGCGGGTGCTTGTAGTGCAGACTGATCTTGCTGAGCTCGTGGTCCAGCTCGGCCAGCTGCGCCGCGTGCCGCGTGCCGCGCGCCGCCGCGCTGGCCGCGCCGCCCGCCTCGCTCGCCTCGCCCGCCTCGCCCGCCTCGCTCGCCTCGCTCGCCTCGCCCGCCTCCGCGCCCTCCGACTGGAACAAACATTATGTACGTGCAGGCGGAGGTGATCCATGATGTGTTGCGAGTGAATCTAGTGAGCGTACCTTGGGCATGGCGTGCAGGGCCGGCCGGTGGGTCGGCGACAGAGCCGGGCTGTACTCCAGCGGAGACTGCGGGGAGACAGGGCCCTGGACCGAAATATAGATTACTAACATATATGTATAGATAACTAAAAATATATACATTTTTCTTAATATACAAACAAAACGTGTGATCATGAATACCATTAAATATTCTTAGTGCCATAATGAAAGTATCAGTAGATTATTGAAGTTAAATGTAGTAAATGCACGGTAAATGTTCACATACTAGCTACTGCCCGCGGCTCCACCGACATTCCCGTGGGATAAAAGATAGCCTATGTGTTATTCCTAACCTTAATCTATACCTGTATCAATATTTCATCCCGATCTCTTCACCCGTTTTGACGCGATTGAGTAACAAACATCACACACACAAACTCCCAATCTTTGGCAATTATAATACTAGTAAGACAGTCAGATTTCTCTGCAATAGACAGATTAACTCACGCTATTGGATATGGAAGCGAGCTTGTGTTGCAGCGTGAGCATGTACTCGCTGTACGACTGCGGTTTGTTCGGAGTGCTCGGCTGGGAGGAACCCGTCGAGTTCACTGCAGTCATGCCTGGAATTACAACCGACATTATTTAAAATATCAAAACTGAACGGCTCACTGTGTCAAAATCAGACAAATTTAGGGACAACTACGTGAATAAATTACACGTTTTATCTTCATCAGCTGGAAGATCCACAGCTAAATTATGGGGGATTATATATTTTTTTTCATTCACTCTCCTATATTTTACATAAAGCACGCTGTAAAACTCTGTAATAGATTTAAGGATTGCATGACCTATTGTTACCTCACGCAATCGTCTATTCACATAACATAGCGCCTTTTAACCCCGAAAGAGTAGGCAGCGGTGCACATTACGGCACCTAACGCCACTTTTCATTATTTATGTTACGAGTCCCATGTAATAGGGGGTGAGCCTATTGCCAAATACCGGACACAATAGAAGATCGGACAACGGGAAAGAAAACATATAAATTAACAAAGTTTTATATTTTTAAATCAAAATTTAATGATTATAATATTTTTAATCTGTCCTATACCTATAACAAAACATCAATCACGTCGCGTGACGTCATACGTGGGCCACGAACGTAAACAACAATACAGAGGGCTTAGTACGAGTTTGATTTATGTTTAAAGTATTCGAAACGAGTACGCGTACGGCACTCTGATTGGTTAGTTCACTGGCGCCGGCCAATCAGAATGCCGAATGCGTACTCGTTACGATTACTTTAACCTCTCGCGCGTTTCTTGTACACACGGGTGTACGAGAGTGACTTGCACCGATTGAAAACTTTTTCTATGATATATATTTTCAAGTTGCAACCCGTTATTTATTTGATTGAACAGTAGTTCATTCGCTTTTTATTAAACCCGTCTATGAGACGCGCGAGAGATTAAACGTAAAACAAACTCGTACTAAGACCTCATATTGGCTGGCTCGAATGAACCAACCAATTAGAGTGCCGAACGCGGATCGTTTCGAATACTTTAAACGTAAAATAAATTCGTACTACGGCCTCTGACTACAGGTGTCTTACTGGATTTGCATTGTTTATTTACCCACGTATGACATCACGCACTCTAGTTTGACTGTTTTGTATTCGCAGCAATTTTTAAACACATTCTATTTTTTAATAAAGCAGTAACGAAAAACATAATACGTTTTACGGGTATAAATAACCATAAAGATTAGTTTAAAATAGTCTTTGAAAAGTTGTCTGATCCCTTATTCCAAACTCCGTGCTACTACTGACAATTTTTAAAAACCCCAGTAATAATTTCGTGTATTTACTTAACCACATGATTTGTCGAGTATTCTGTCAATAAATAAATATTGATATTCCTGCCATATCCATGTCCACAGCCCTCCTAGCCAGCGCATGGTGCACGGCGCGTTGGGCCACTAGCTGTCCCAGATTCTGGTTGATAATTCCTAAATTCTGCCCTCCCAGGGACAAGTTCTGTCCACCTAGCGCCAGGTTCTGGCCTCCAATGAGATTCTGACCGCCTAATCCTAAGTTTTGACCTGCTAGACCTGAAACCAATTAAGTTTGCCTACTTTTAATTTCTGTTAGGCAGTAAATTATTATAAATGACAGAGCAACTTACATAATAATTTACAACGTAATAGAATATGCTTTAATGTATAATAGGGTACTTTCCATAATCAAAAATTAATTGTTTCGATTGTTCAATATAATAAAATATTAAAAAACCATCCCACTTTCATTAATTTTTTTTTTGTTGTGCTTTTTTTTTAAGGGGGGAAAATCGTCGAATGACTGCTCCCGCCTGGGTGAGGCGGAAGGGAGTGTCAGACTCTTACTGACTAAAAACCACCCCGTTCCTTCTCCTGCACGTCGAGCCGGAGCCCCGGTTACCCGTTAGGTTCTCCGCGACTTTTTGTTGTGCTTACTGTTTTAAAAGCCAATTATTTAAACTGTCAAACACCAAGCGGTCACCGGTGACCGCAACCTATTGTTCTATAATTGTGTCTACAAAACCGGTACTCGACGAGTTAATAAATCAGACAGTTCTATAAATTGGAAATTCTTTCATTAATTGATTTCATGACAAAATTACTTTTAGTAGTTTTTCCAGCAAATGTTTAACAAATAACTATTTATTTATTTGTTTATTTTATTTATTTATCAATTCTTTAATGCACACAAAATAAGGTATGTATTGTATAGCGTATGTATAGCGGCTAGGTAACTATGCTGTTTGATCCTAAAAAACGTGACTAATGTCGGAATACTCAAACGCTACTCAATTTTAAGTAATGCTTAAGTATAGTTCTGTCTCTACAAATTCTTTGTAAAATGACAGAGATGGCACGATATTTGAGCACGACTTAAAATTGAGTAACGTTTCAGTATTCCGGCATAGATCTCGTAAAAAAATCATATTTAGTCTTTGTGTCATAGTTCGAAGTAAATATTGAATTTGACTAGTTGTCAAGTACGCAATTATAAACATCCGAAAAGGTAAAAAGGCTAATTGAACAGGTGTTATAAGGCAATTGTACAAAGTACATGAATTTGTATAATTGCAATTTTACTCTTTGCATATTCAACGCTTTACATATTACATAGTTCAGTTCGCGTTTGACCGTAAGTGTGCACACAAATCATTTTAAAATCAAGTATTGTTTTAATAAATATCTAAAATTCAAAAGTTTTATTTATCAAGATTATCAGTTATCAAAACAAGTGCATCAGCTCCAACAGCAATAAATCTACAATTACCTGTATAATTTCCTAGATTCTGTCCTAGATTCTGCCCCATAAGATTCTGGTTGAGTGCTATATTCTGTGCAATGTTCTGATGCTGGAAGGCGATAGCTTGCGGAGCCAGCGGCGTGGCCAGCCCCATCATACCGAGCTGAGACATCTGCTGACTGGCCAGCTGGTTCACTGACGATTGCAGGGCTTGCTGCTGAGCTGATGATTGAAAGAGGGGATTGAGTCCTGCGTTAGTGAAAAACAAATATTTAATATTTGATTCTGAGAATATTGATTAAACCTTTTATCTTCCGCCTACTTTCGGTACTTTTTCTTGACATATTTACAGAGTGTAACCCTGTTTGATAAGTGCAATTCTTTGGCTGTATGCACAGAACTGGTGAAATCAAACATATTCACCAAAAATGTATTAAGAACCTTCCAAGATAGAAAGGACTAGCTGTTCGACTCAGATTCGCTCTCAGCTCATATCAGCTCAATTGAGAGCCATGTTTCATTAGACTATAAACATAATATTTACATTTAAAGCAATAATTTAATTAACTAAGGGTAAAACATGTACAGTTAGGAATATGTAATTCAATGAAAAACAGGAATTAAGCAACGAAAAAAAAAGTAAAAGTGCTGTGTAAGAAATAAAAAAGTAAATAATAAAAAATGAAATAATTATTGAGACGAAAGTTGATATCTATTGTTATTTAGACAGCAGGAGCGTGTGCACTATGTACATGTAACACATACATACATGTACACATTTACATAATATATAATTATGTATCGGAATGATGATGAGATATGAAATCCCTACTGAGCTAAAGTAAGTTAACACTGCATCATCCTTTAGCGTCTGAGTGACGAGAACAAAGCATAAATAATGGACATCAACTATCGTTTCAATCCAATAAAGTAAGCAAAATAAGATAGAATTCGAGATTACCAATGAAGTCGTTGGCCAGCATCGGTTGGTAGTACTTGGGCTGCTGGTACTGAGGAGGCAGGCGCGCCGCCATCATAGGTGCTGACGTCACGAGCAATATAGTTAGTCACTCCATGCGCAACACAGTTAGTCGCTGGCCACGCTAGCGCGGCGCGTCCTGCGTGCCATGAGCGGGAATGAGGCGGCTCGACCGGCGGCCACTAGGCGCACCAACCTGGCCTCGACCGCTCAACACGTACCATTGTTTGTCTCCCGCTCATCGTAGATGCAGGACGCGCCGCGCTAGCGTGGGTAAAGCGTTACAATGCACGTGGTGCGTACGGTCAAAGGTCAAAAGTCCACTGCCACCGTAAGACTACTATAGGTTGCGCTGCAGCGCTTATACACACATGCACACGCATATTTGTATCCGTACGCGTGCGTGTGTTTATGCGTACGCACGCGTTTTTATGCACATTAATATGAAATTACTTACGCATTGCCGTGTGAACATCACTCACGGTGGCAGTGGATTTTTGACTGTACATCGCTAAATTTATTTATTCGCAACGAGGGAAGATTCACTCTACGCATTCATATAATAATAATATATATCACCCTCTAAATCCCTTAAAGTTTTTAGATACATAATGAGAATTTGTTTCGCGCATTGTGTATTTTCTCATTATATTTTACGGTACTTATCATTGCTTAGTTATAATCATATCTATTTAGAAGAAAGATAAAAAGTGATAGGAATTTGTGTTGATATATATTTATTAAATTAGAAAAAAAGTGCACGCACTTACCGGCCATCACGACAGAATCTGGCTATCATTCGTGCCGGACATTATACAGAAATGTAATATTTTTATTGCTATTCTAAATGATATTCCCCCGTCGCATGTGTATTTACAAAAGACCGTATTTAACTATTGAAAGAAAGAAAGAAAAACATTTATTCGACAGTAGGTATTGCTTATAAGCATGTGAGAATATTTAATTGATTCGTTGCTGGTAACTTATATATGGGGGCTTACTCTTGAATCCAATTCCGATCGATCGACATTGGCATATTGAAATTTCATACTCGCAACACTAGCGCCCATTGCATCCGTATTGTGTGGATATTGAATATATTGAATTTGGCTTTATATTCTGTACTCTGAATGTTATTTTAACAGTTACAAAAATAGGGGTTGTATAGTTTTGAAATTAAATAATTATTGAGATTTTATTGGATTGAAATAGGGTAGTTTCCTAAACTTTATTTTAATGTCCGTCTGGTACATTAACTCGTCGAGTACCGTCATTATAGACACAATTATAGAACAATAGGTTGCGGTCACCGGTGACCTCGCGGTGTTTGATAGTTTAATTTAAAACTTTAGATACGTATTTCTTGACCGCAACCTATTGTTCTATAATTGTGTCTATAATGACGGTACTTGACGAGTTAAACTTTGGTCCATTTTATCTAAGTATTGCAACTTAATACGAGAAAATACGTGTCTAATATTTTTTCATTATCTAACTTACGAACAAATTAAATTTTTAATTTTGATACCCTGGAAACTACCCAATTGCATTGACATTCAGATTGGTTTCAAGAGTAAGGCGTGTTCGGGGTTGGGGTGAGTTCAAGATAAACTCTAGGATGTAGAATGAAAGATATATTTCGATACTAATGAGATAACTACTAAGTCTAATGAGGTGAATGAGATGAGATTGAGTAGCGTCCGTATTCACAATCGTACTGAACGTACTGAGCGTTTTTACCTAAGTAATACATAATATATTCATGACATATTGCGGTGTGTCGCAATTACGGTGACATGATTAGTATACTTAGCATATTACAATTATTTGTTCGGTGATTGACCCGAACAT